ATACTTGAGCAGGAATATTTTGTAAAGTAATAGTTTTAATAATATTATTATTATTGCTTAATTTTTTATTAAAGTAGGATGATCGATAACGTAAGATGACCGAGTGGGCGGTGAAGGTTTTTTTATTTGGTCCATCATCAACTTCAATAATAACATTAGATTCTTCTTTATCATCTAGAAGTTCTGTTAAGTTTTGAGTTAACTTGTCTAAAAATAAATATTTCATTTTTTTTTTAGAATTAAAAGATTTCAAAGTACGCAATATTAAATATTTTATGTTGTATACAATTCTACTTGTGATTTGTTAGTACCACGCTTGCGTCGCATAAATAATATTAAATTACTATTGGTATTAAATTATTATTATTCCATAAAGAGTAATTTATTCAAAATTCATTTTAAGTCTAGAACTAAATTGTAAAAAGTTTTTTGTAAAATAATCATTGGCACAGGAGTGTTAAAACGTTTAGATCATAAATTTGGCACCTAAATTCCAGAGGTTCAACGATTTTTTAAATTTATGTTTTATATATAACTAAAATGTCCGGAGCTAAATTTAACCTTCTTTTTTTTTTGCCCATGCCATTTATAGAAACAATGAACTTGATAAGTTATTAAAAATATTAGTATGGTTACATGTAAAAAAATTTGCACCAAAATATTAGATAACAACTGCGCCATATTATAAACAAATCACATCGTAGTCCCGGGGAACTATATTAATCGAGGGTCTAACAATTTTTACCTTCTCCTGACTTTATAAGTTATATATGACTTTGTAAAATTTTGCCCCTTATTTAAAAGTGTCCGCGACTAGACGGTCCGAGAAAATAGTAATTTTTATTCAAAATATGTATTCAAATATTATAATTATAAAATTCATGAGCGAAATAACTTCTTTTTTCTTCGCTGATGCAAAACCAATATTAAATATTCCTCATCCAAAGTATTTCTCACCCCTGAAATTTTTTTGAGAACGCAAATTGATTGGTTGATGTAAATTATTAATTGGATCTTTTTTTTTATGATCGAAATAAAAATCTCTATTTTTGTAAACTATCACGTCCGGAATCTGCGTTCTCTCAATATGCAAAAACGTAATTTTAACAGAAGGCACATTTCCCAATTTCAAAAACCGTTTAGTTACATGTATAAGTCTATACCTTGAATAACATTCATATGGTACTTTAATTTATGATTATAGAAAGGTTAGAAAAATGATGATGACCAGGAGGAGATTCAAGTGTGGATCCATATTTGGATTTTTAAACACTTTTTTTTTACAATCTTTCGATCTCCTGCAGTTTTATTTTTGTTCTTCCATTTATTAATTCATTTCTTTTTTTTTGGAGAATTAAAGGTTGACTTTATTAATTTATCAGGTAAGGAAATGATGCGAATTATGATAATAACTTATAACTTATTATTTTTTTGTTTAATCCGTCCATCCATTTATTCATACATTTATTCATCCATTCGTCCTTCTATCCATCTATTTATTCATCCATCTATCTGTTCGTCCGTTCATTCGTTTATTTATCCATCCGTTCGTCCGTTCATCCATTTATCTGTTCATTCGTTTACCCATTTCAATCGTTATTCATCTATTCATCCATTTATCCATCCATTCATTCTTCTATCCATCTATATATTCATCCGTTCGTCCGTTCATCCATTTATTCATCCATCCATTCGTCCGTTCGTCCGTTCATCCGTTAATCTATTCATCCATTTATCTATCCATTCATTTTCTATCCATCAATTTATTCATCCTTCTATCCATTCGTCCGTTCATCCGTTTTTTCATCTGTCCGTTCATCTGTTCATTCGTTTGTCCATTTCGATCTTTATTCATCTATTCATCCATTTATTCATATATTCATTCTCTACCATTTATTTATTCATCTATCTTCCGTTCGTCCGTTCTTCCATTTATCTGTTCATTCGTCTATCCATTTCGATTCTTATTCATCCATTTATCCATCCATTCATTCTTCTATTCATCTATTTATTCATCCATCTATCCGTTCGTCCGTTCATCCATTTATTCATCCATCCGTTTGTCTGTTAATTCGTTTATCCACTTCGATCTTTATTCATTCATCCATCCATCCATTATTATTTACCCTTGATCTTTATTCATCCATCCATCCATTATCATTTACTCTTTGATCTTTATTCATCTATCCATCCATTATTATTTACTCTTTGATCTTTATTCATCCATTCATCCATTATTATTTACCCTTCGATCTTTATTCATCCATCCATTATTAATTACCCTTTGATCTTTATTCATCCATCTATTTATCCGTTCGTTTGTCCATTTACTTTTCATCTATTCATTATTATTTACTCTTCGATCTTACAATGAAATGTAATTGTAATAACAATAAGGGTCGAACATATGTTTTATAACGATTAATAGATTATAGATTACATCATGATATTCTCTATAGCATTTCAACTCTATGTACTTATAATATTACATTTAAATTTCTTTTTATTAAATGACAATAATAAAGTGTTTATAGTTTCGACTACATATTATATGTAATCGTTTACAAATAAAAAAAAAAACTATCTACATATGATTGACGTTACCCAAAATAAAAAGCATTTGAGATTCGCGAAACAATAAGTTTTTGTAGAATAAGTACTACGATAATGTCCATTTTCTCCACATTTACCACATCTGCGACTCACGTCTGATGTAAATAGTATTTACTGTATGTTCATTACTATTTTTATTTTTTGATTTGCTTCCAGTTTTAATGGATCTAATACCTGCTGCAAATCAATTAAAACTCCATTTATACTCGAAATAATTTGATTATCATTCCTTTTTTGATTTTTCAAAGCTTCTTGTCGTATATTGGATTCTTCTTGGATTTGATTAAGTTCCTTTTTTTTGTTAAATTCCCTTATAATTGAATTAACTCATTATCATCATCTTGAACTGCAAATTGTATAGCTTTTTTTGCTTCACCCATTAAAATACCATTTTAATTCGATTTTGTGATATTTGCTTGTTACATTGTTCTGAATGATCACTTGAAGTATATTTCTGAGTATTTGTAAAGGTATCATTATAATTATTGTTAGGATCTTTGTTACATATCACCTCTTCATTAGAAAATATTTCATTATAATATTCATCTTTATACCAATGGTTTGGAATTAACATTAAATGAAATCGCGCATTTGATGATTCCACGAAAATTTTGAAGTGTCAACATACAATACCATGAGTGATGAGCATAAAACAAGTGCATAAATATTCCCCGTTATTAAGTAAGATAATGTGTTAATAGCATTTTGGATAATTGTAACATGAAATTTTCCAGATTTCTAAATTTCATTAGGACTAACAATAGCAATTAAAGATTGTAAATTTAATTCCCGATCTTCATCTGCTTCAATAAGAATTTCGCTAGAATTATCATAGAATGGTTCAAAAGAATCATTGCCTGATGTTGTAATTTTTGCTATGGGTATTTGAAAAGCTCGATAACATACAGATTGACACATTTGCTTGTAATGTGCATCATGAATAGGTTGAGTGAGATATTTTTTTTTTAAAAGATTATCAATATCACTAAAAAATGTTTGCATGACGAATGGTTGTATATATTGTAATGTGGCCGTCTTCCAGATTGAGTAACTATTGTTAATAAATTCAGTTTCATGTCTATTTTCAAGAACTTCTTGTACTTGTGAAAGTGAAAAAGAAGATTGTACAGCTTTTTGAATTAATGCATTTTCTGATTCAGCACGTTGTGTAGATTGCGTACCTGCTGGAAATGTCGAGATGTAAAACATTTAACCCAAGTATTCTTTCTATTTAATAATGTTGTTATATATTTTTTTTCCAGCAGAATATTTATCAACTAAACCTTCTGAACTTTTTTCAAATACACTTTCACAATGAGAATATTGAATATTTTTGAAATCTTTAAGGAATTCTTGAAATAATGACCTCAAATTTGAGCAAAGGTTTTTAAAAAGGTTTTGATAAAGATGAAATAAACACTGTATATGATGAGTTCTAGGAAAAACTGTAGATACGGCTGCAATCATTGCAGGATCGGCATCAGTAACAAATGTTAATGGTGCGATTTCACATGCTTCAAGGCAACATTGTAGTAACCATTCGTAAGACTCTGTTCGTTCATCTTGCATAAATGCTTGTGCCGCTAATCTACTTTTATTATAGTTGTCTATTAAAATAAAAAGACTTAAAGGATAATTATATTTGTTGGTTCGTGCAGTATTATCATGAATAATAACATCATAAAACTTAATCCATCTTTGCCTTTGTTCTGGGGACATCCAAAAAATACCAATTAATCGATTACTGGTATCATCTATTAATAGTTTTACAAACCATTCAGAATCTTTTTTTTGATACTCAAGTAATTTTGTTAATAAAGATACTGCATCACCTAAATTTAATCCTTTTTCCCGTTTTATTTTTTGAATGGCATTAGTAAGATCACTACTAAGAAATATTCGATCAGGATATTTTGGCTGAAGAAGGTTTCTTATCATTGTTGCATCACAGTGACCATGTACAACGTAAAATTCTATTTACACCATAATTTCTTGTGAAAAACAATTGTATATTGGTGAAAATTTAATAGTTTCGCTATAAATATTATGATTATGTTCATTATTAAATGATGTTACAGTTACTATTGGTGAATTTAATTTTCTTGTTATATTTATTTGCCACATACATTCTCGTTTTTTGCTTCCTTTATTTTTCTTTTTACCAAGTGCTGGTCTTGAAAGTTTTTCATTATATCTCCCTCCTAAATCACATTTAAGTACTCTTTTTCTACTAGTACCATCTGGAAATATTTCATTTTTATATTTTAAAACAGCAAAGTTCTTTTGTCGTGCATATTGTTTATAGGAGTGCTAATTAAAGGTAAATTACTATTATAATCTTCAAATCCATGGCCTAATATATTTCTAAAGTATGTTTCATCATCACTAACTGGTATTTCGTTTTCTTTAGAAGTTTTATTTTCATTAATTAACACTTCATTTTCTTTATTAGACATTGTTAAACAATAAAATATATAAATTTATACATAAACAAATAACATAATATTTACTGTATATTCGTAAGCAAAACTGATCTACAATGGGGTGAGAAATTCACCCGGGTGAGAAATAGGTTTTCTCTTAAAATAATTAAAAATAATTAATAAAATGATTAATAAAATAATTAATAAAATAATTAATAAAATAATTAATAAAATAATTAATAAAATAATTAATAAAATAATTAA